AATTGATATATCATTAATTTTAACTTTAAAATCTCTACTAGTTGTATCATTAGTGTTTCCTTTAAATGTGAATTTTAATATTATTTTTAAATATTTAGAAACCCCGGGATCAATCTTTGAAATGTCAATAATATGACGACCAGTATCACTTCTAATTAGTTCAAGTGTTCCAGGAAAATGGTCACCAACTTTATCCCATAATATACCTTGTTCAAGTGTTATGAACGCTTTGTCAGTGTCATAAGTCTCAATGGTTATAGTTTTTGGAAGCTCATATATTTCGTTAACATTTTCAATCCAATCGCTGATAAAATATGATTCAATTTTTGTATAAGGTTTTACACCGGTAACTATTAAATATAAAAGTATAATACTTCATAAAAATTATTTCTTAATATTAAAATTAATTTATATAACATAAATTTATATATTTTTTGAAATTAGTTTTAGTTAAATGTGAATATTCACACAACTCCTTATATTTAAATTTAAATAAAAATTATAATTATTCCAAAAATATAAGATATACTAGATTTACATTACCTAAAATGCTATATGTCGTTCTATCCACATCAGGAATCCATTTTAAACTGAAATATGGAAATGTATTCCATATTTGATTTTTATGAAATCCCGGAATCAATTTTACATAATTCGTATCCAACAGCGTTACTATATTTGGGGTTAACATGACATTACGTAAAGTTCTAAAAGCAGAATCCTCATCCGTTGTTGATATAGATATTTTGAATGACTTATCAGATGGGATCATCATAAAATCTCTTAAGCAAAAGTTAATTTCAGTTTGTTCAGGATGCAATGGATCGAGGGTAAAAAGTTTTACCGCGCTAGTGTCAACAATATAATTAACAGATAGTGTAACTTTTTTCGTTGGATCGGTGATTGAATAATTAATTGTAGGGCATAAGTCAACTTTAGTTGTACTCATTCCTGTAAATTTATAACTAAGTTCGTTTGCGGGGTTTGTCGGATAAAATGTACTTGAGCTACTATCTAAAACCCATTTGTTGAATTCAGGGGTTTCGAGTGCCACACATTCTTTTGCAACACTATTAAATTATATAAAAATTATTATATGATATTTTACATTTATGTTATTTTTTATTAAGATTTATACCTATCCCAGTTGAATTTTTTATCAACATTATTGTTGCAAACGCATCGAAATTCTTTATTTAAATAACCTGGGCTACTAACATCAAATGTTGACCCCTGGTCGTCACATATTAAACCACCTTTATCATTTTTACATAGATATGTGGCGGTTTTCTAAACAATAAAATTAAATTTAAAATATAAATTCATAAGTTAAGCAATAATATGTAAGTACTTTGGTGGGAGAAGCATCAGTCGATTTACAAAAGTTGACAATGTTGCATTTTGAGCCACTATAACCAGGTTTACATAAGCATTGATTAGGGTTTGATTGTAGTGGGTCAGCCAAACCATTTTCGCAATCTTTTTGAGGATATATTCCATGTTCGTTGCACCGAGATTTATCCAATTGAAATTGACATGGGTTACCAAAGCTGATTAATTTAAAATCTAATTCAAAATCTGTGTCAGATCTAAAATTATAGCTTTCTGGTTTAAAGGATTGAAATTCGAAAAATAATTTTATGTATTTTGTGTCTTTAATTTCATCAATGGTGAAATCATACGTCCAGATACTAGGAATTTGTACTTTTGTAACTCGTTGTATAGGAACTGGATCTGGATTTTTCAACACATTTACTATTTTCAAGTCAAAACATTGGGCCAGGTCATTGCAAATTTTGCCAACTACTTTGAACGCGTTGAAAAATCTTTCATCCTTAACATATATGCTATAACTACCGGTATTTGCTGCAAAACTTTTATCATATAAAATCCATTGCCCCATTAACACGGTTGAGCCTGGTATGTCATTTTCTGATGATACTATATTTGTTAATATAATTATTTAATCAATTTAACTTGTAATCAAAATACAGTATTACCAATTACCTCTCAAATGAAATTTATTGTCTAAAGCCTGAATATTTTCTTGTGGTTGTTGTACCGGCCATTCCTTAATAGTTAATAACGGCGATTGATACTTTTGTACCTGGCTATTAAATGTATCTTTCCACGTATAAGGAGTGTCAGTGACTTTAGTCATTCTAATTGACATATCCATAGCCGGTTCCTCTCCTTGCCTTAAATCCACATAAATCCTCAATTTTGAACTTATTGCCAATAAGTCTGTTAAGCATATATTGACCACTTCCAATATCTTTGCTTTCACGTTTAATTTAGGCTTAATTGAAAATATTTTGTTTTTATTACGATCAAACGTTTCGGATTCATACGAGTAATGTAGATTTATTTCTGTAGGTGTTGTGGCATAGTATTCAAACTTAAAACACGTCCGCTCAGTTGTTAAAATATCGTACGCAGTTGTTATAAATGTTGAACCCAACTTGGTGAATTGTTTTTCATTTATACTATAACAGTTTTGATTCATAGTGCGCAAATTACATTGTGTAATTACATTGGCTACCGGTGGATCCTTACTTATTTGTTTAGTAATATTTATTGCCAAACTATTAAACTTGCTAAAATAATAAATTTCTTGCTCACCCGGGTTACCAGGAATTTCGTACTCAACTAATTAAAAATAATTAAAATTATTACTAATATATAGTATTATAAAATATTTTTAAAAACTTTTTAAATCTTTAAGCGCAACCCTGGTTGTTGTTCCATATTCAATGTCAATTTCAAAATCAATCAACTGCTGTCGCGTTAGCACGTATTGTCGAGACATCCAATAATTTTGAAAATTATTTCCGTAATCATTGGAAATATCATCTATAAATTTGTAATCATCACGACCTGGAATTTTTTCATATTTAATTATCATACGCGGTGTGTGGTCACTCGTATATGCCCATATCTATAATAAAATTTTATAAAAAATTAAATATTTCTAGCTAAATTTAATTTTTATTATTAACAATCACCTTGAGACTAAATACAAAGCGATTAACTGTTTTATCAATCACATTATCGTAAAGATCTTTCTTAAATTTAAGGAAATCTTGTCTAGTTTCATAATTTATGTAAAAGAATTCCGAATGCTTCCCGCTTAATCTGTCCTCGTTATCCCAGAAAGGGTAGTTTACTTGCTTATCAGCATTGTCATTTGTTACAGTTATCCATCCAGGCGCATCAACTAATGGATCTATTATGAAAATATTTAGTATTTTAAGTGATGAAGGTTTAAAAAATTTTAACATAAAATTAAATAACTAATGTAGAAAGGTAATATATTCTGAATTAAACAATCTAATCTTTTAAAAAATAACAGTAACTCAGATTTAAATATTTATAAATAATAATATTTGCCCAGTAATGTAACACATTATTCAAAAATTAAAATAATATTTAATAAATTAATAAACTAATTTAAAATTATAAATCAATTTTTATTATATTTATAAATTGTTAACTTACCATTGCACAAGATAACTGGTAAACCAAATAACAAAATTAAAATAAATATATTTAACTGCGTCATATCATTAAATTTATTTGCATGTACAATTTATTTAAAAATATTAAATTTTTGTAAAATATATTAGTCTTTAAATATCAATGTATTATCAATAATATAACTTAATTAATAGATTTTTACTATAGTTATTATATTTAAGCTAAATGAAAATATATATAACAATATTACAAAAACAGTTGTTTAAATGCGAATTATATAAATACTTTGTACCACCCCCACCTCTCTCACTCCTTCATTAAAGTCTCTACGTTTCGTCAAATGGTATTAAAATTGTATCAATTTGTATATCAAAAATATGTAAAATTGAATATCTTGAAATAAAATTGACTAAAATTTTAAATGTTAAAATTATAAAAACTTTCAAAAGCAAGTAACTTTTCTTTATATCTTTAAACTTTTAATTGTAAATTTAAATATTTGCAATAATATATAAATACCGACATATTGAGAAGCATAAACTGAGTGCTGAGAAATATCATGTTCATGCACTACAGTATTTATAAAACCAAGGTACCAACTAGCAAAGGCAGGGGATTATAAAATGCTCTTATTAAATTAAGTCTCCAGCATTGGCAGAGCATTTTATAATCCCCATTCTTTGCTAGTTGGTACCTTGGTTTTATAAATACTGTATTTAATCAGAAAGTTAACGATGATGCCGGGAAATAGTTTCCATATTATTATATTAAATTGACTAACTATTGTTTTAATTCGGTATTCGGTCATTTGATCTACGGGACATTTGACCTACAAATTCAAACAAGTTACTTTTGGAGGTAAACATTTTTAGATTGTGTTAGGTTAGGTAAGGAATTCAAAAATAATGTTTAAACTTAAATTCTTCCATAAATAACGTAGATAATTAAAAACGTATGTGAAATATCCCGTAGTTTAAATTTCCCAAGACTTTTTAATACATAATTTACAGATTAATTGCATAAATATGAATATCGGTTTTATAGCATTGCTCTCAAACCTTGTTATTTAATATACAAGTACTAAATAGAATTATTTTGACATTATAATAGAAGCCATGTTATTTAGTTACTAGTAAAAACACTTCAACATATAAGATTATTAAATGAAATTGATAAATTGTGCAATTCAAATTGATAAATGTAGATAGTTTGAAATACTATAAATGTCATTTGAATAAATAAATTAATAATAGTTTTATGGTATTTTATTTAATTTAAGAAATTCATTATTAATATCATGAATTAAATAAAATTTTATCACTATAATTATAGTATATACTATGTGTATTATATGTTACTATGTATATTAACTTCCTTCAGGGTTAAATGTTACAATTAATATCTGATACTTTTTGGTAAACATATTGCATATTTTGCACTTATTTTTGCAATACAGTATAAATATTTGATAATACTGTACCAAACTTATAAATTTATAGTAACATTAAAACAAACTGTAATGTTTCCCATTTTTCTTATAAAACTGAAGCAATCAATCGATTCAATCATAAAGTTTAGTACAAAGCTGTCAAGTGTTAAGGTTTTTTGTGGCTTATTATATAAATACACATTTAATGCGATTATAATTGCATTCAAATCGTGAGATGTGTTTCGAGTGCAACCAAATCGGCGCTCAGTTCCCAGAGTTTGTGTGCAATCGAGTCGTCCACAGACTGGCCGACCATATGTTGAACGCGACGACAATTCCTATGAAAATGTCATTCAATTGAATATATAAAACAAAAATCATAACAATTCAGTCATTACTCGTAATGAAATCCGGACTCATTGTCCAACTGGTCATCCAATGCACAGTAGAGTGTGGTCTGGGAGCCCATCTCGGGTGTCATGAGTAGGAATCTACTCACACCCTCACTACTACTGATATATCTCTTGATGTCGGTGTTAATAGCACCGGGATGCAGGCTATAAGCGTTGATATTAGTGTCTTGCAAACGTTTAGCCAGTTCCCGGCTAAACAAAACGTTGCAAAGTTTGCTTTGGTTATAGGCATCGTATTTATCGTAAGCGCCGTTACGTAGGTTTATATTCCCGAAGTTCACGTCCGATAACCGGTAGCCCATCGACGCCACTGTTATTACTCTGGCTTTCGGCGACCTCTTCAACAGTGGTATCAAATGAAGTGTTAGTAAAAAATGGCCTAAAATTAGGAATGGGTTTATGTTTTACATATGATTTCATTTGAATTCAATAATCACTTCGTACTCAAGTGATTGACTCCGAGGTGTAGCTCAAAGCCGTCGTCAGTCCTGCCCTCGGGTGCGCCAAAAAT